TATCTCTGCGAAACTTTGACATATTGACTCCAAACTTTGTATGTGCCATTGTGACCTCACACTGACCACGCCACATCAAGTTGATAATAGCGCCACCTATTGGTCGAGAGAGATAAACCATTCATCAACCATCAGTAATGAAATTTACAAAACTGTCAATAACTTTTGATAGCATTAGCCTATTTTAATTCAACTGGTCTCCGCCATTTTGATTTATGTTGAAAACATACTTTTTCGAACTCCTCCTCAATCGTTGGTCCGATTTTCACCAAAATCGAGTCAGATCATCTTTTGACTGTTTTGACAAAATGATATGGATTTCGTGTCGATAGACGAACCGGTTTTCGTACAGTGCCACTACAAATTTTAGGCATGGTGCCAAAATGACTCTAAAGCTATATCTATGCAAAGCTTTGACATAATGACAACAAACTTTGTGTGTGCCATTGTCACACCAAAATGATTTGATTACAGCGCCACCTGTTGGTCAAAAGTGATAAGCCGTTTAATCATATTACTAGTGGTTGTATTTATGATTTTTCAGCTATTTCAATTACAATCATCCTAAAATTGGTTTTATTACTCATTGTTGCATTTGGTCTGATGCTCCATGCCATGCTTAGCTCCTCAATTTGCCTCTGGAGTGCTTGGCCCCGCAATTGCTGCTTGCAGCTATATTTTTTATTTGTTTCTGTTTTTACAAGTCATTCATTTTCCGCCTCACTCAGGAAGTGAAAAGAAAGCGCCTTTTACAGTTTGGTAAATTTAGGCATCAGAAACAGGCCATGGATGGTGGCCATTTTGTTTTTCTAGCACATGTGGGCGTTCATAGATTTTAAGTCAATTCAACCTTCAAAATATATGAGCTTTTGTGGTGCTATCTGTCTTGTTGCATCTTTTTCAGTGCGAGTGTTGTTGTGCTCAAGGACACGCCTTCAATTGTCTGAATCTATGACATAAAGACAGAATCAGGGATTCTGAGCAAAAGGAGATGTTTTATTTAAGCTCCCGTGGAGAAACAGAAGCAGGGGCTTTACATGTTTGAACAGCCTGCTATTGTGCAGTCTCATCTCTCTCTTTTTGTATCCTCATTAATTATCTGTGTCAGCCATAGCTACTCCTGTCATTGGTGTGTGTGTGTGTGTGAGTGTGTGAGTGTGTGTGTTTATGACCGTTGTTCCTCTTCTGAAACGAAGAACAAGCCGTTGCCAATTAGGGACTCTGCCTACCCAAGGGTGATAGTGTGTTCAACTAAGAGCGTGCTGTCACATCAGCTCGTGGGTTGTTAATATGGTCTGAGTGTCAGCAGGATGAAAGATGTATATTTAGAAACTAGTGGGGTCACTATACGCTCTTGGCTAAATCAGGCTATAGGTTGAGAGCAGCATTTTGGCTGGTTAGGGGTTTGCACTTCAGGGATCCATATTTTCACCTTGGGTCTCTGACATTTACAGTTGCACCATCGAAATGGTTCGGCTGTTTGGATTTTGATGACCTTTAAATTATTTTTTATAAAAACTGCTTCATACGACAGAATGAAATGTGAGGCGTATTGGTTTAAGGTTGGAGTTTTATGTTGCGGTTATTTATTATGCCGTGATATGAAAGTTAATGTTTTAACCTGCTGTGCTCTTTTAATAAACAGAAAGACAGCCTGTTTCTTCCAGTTTTAGTTATAATTTAACCTAGCAGTACCTTTTTTTCTCCAGTAACCATAATTTCTAATAAATTAAATCCCTCACACACGGGTGGTTGTAGACAAGAGTGTAGGACACAGTCAATACCAGTGTCAGAAATTCATGTTATTATAAAGGGAAGGGTCAATAAATGCCTCACATTTTTATTATATTCTTTTATTTTATTTATTACATTATTCTTTTACAGTGTTGGGCTAGTTACTCAAAGAATGTAATATATTACTCATTACTAGTTACTCTTTTCAAAAGTAATATTGTTACTTTACTTATTACTTTCTGGCAACAGTAATTAGTTACACTACTAGTTACATTACTTTTTCTTCACTCCCCAAAGAAGTTGTAACTGTGTATCTTCCACATAAAATTCTTAATCTAGAATGTTACTAACAACATATTTCTGCCTCATCATTTGACCAAAATCCACATTGGATCGCAGTCAGAAGTTATTGCAAATACTCAATAGTGATTGATAGTGACATTCAAGTAAAAGTGTTGTATTAATCTCATTAATTGTCACGTGTAGCTTGAAGCTAATTGTAATTTCTCCGTTACCCATATACGATTATATTTCATTATGTATTTTATCAAATCACATAAGTTTGTAAGAAACTGGTTAATTTCCCAAAAAGATTTGTAATTTTAGTAATATAATGTACCACATGCTGATCAGAGGGATGTGGGTGGGATGTAATGCCAGAGTAAAATAAAGCCACAAATTAAACAACAGTGTTCAGATCAGATCATCGTTTTTCCTGAAAAAATCAAAATAATGCAATATTTCTATCTGCTGAATGTAAGCTTTTCCATATTCCTTGCCTGCTGCACTGCGGACATCGCATGCATGTGTGAGTCGTGAAAATTATTGAAATAAATCTAGGAATTATTTGATTGTTGGATTTTAAATCAGCGGGGTTGAGACATCAAAAGTAACGACGCTGTTTTATGGATGGTAACTAATATTATTACTGAAATCTTATTAGTAATTAGTTACACTACTAGTTACTGCAAAAAGTAATATTATTACAGTAACTAAGTTACTGCCCAACACTGTTCTTTTATTCATATTCTTTTATTTATTACATTATTATTTATTTATTACATTATATATATTTTTTGGTTTTACCTTACCTTAGTTTTATTCAATATATATTTCCCTCACAACTGAAAACTCTATGCTATTTGGTCACTTTTGACAGGATTTTTGCCCTGATCCCTGGTTAATTACAATACATAGTAAAAATTTAAAAATTGAGCTGTAACACATCCATATTTTAAAAATGCCAATCGATCAAAGAGTTTGTAAAATGCCTTTAGCATTGCTGATTAGTCAGTCCCAGTAGAGCTGAATTACTGTGTCCTCAATATGAAGCTCGTCCTGCCTCAAAATGGCTGCCTGCGCTTGGTTCACATGGGTATCGTTCTCAGCTGGATGAGCTAGATATGAATATATCTCATCTCTCCTGGCTGAGACGAGTGTGTGTGTCTGTGTGTGCGTCTGGTCTGTGTTCTCTTGCTAGCCCTGTCCTGTCAGAGCGCTCTAGTCTTACTTAACTCTGCCCTCTCTCTCCACCCTGGGAGATGAGAATCAAAGTGACCGGACACACGCAACCATCTGCCCCAGTTCATGGCAACGAGCTGCCCTCCCAGACAGAGAGAGAGGCTTTTTGTCTTTGCTGCTTGTGAGTTTGTCTGAACACAACTTCCTAATAAAGGCATAGCAGCCCTAGACCTTTAGCTGTCTCTCCAGCTGTCCAATCACACGCTGTCACCTTTTCACATACATCCTTTTGCAGCAATGGTCAGAGGCCTAAAAAAAGCACGTCATGTCTTGTATATCGCCGGAGGCTTGACAGTACTGCCCCTTTGTGTTACCTCTCAGTGGTGGCTTTTTCTTTTTCTTAGATCTGCAAAGATTCCTTTAGGGGGTGCTGTTGCACAGTCTGAAACCTTACATGCTGCTGCTTTTCTTTCCTTCAGAGCTGGCTCATGGCCGGCCGATCTCGATTCATAGTAATTGAGAGCAGGGAGGGATAGAAAATCGATTGGGAACCTGGCAGTTCTTTAATGGTGACTCTTTTTACCTGTTATCAAGTGAGATGGGCTGCAGGGGCCTCTGACAATGACACGCTCCCCTCTTAGCAGCAGTTTGACTGATTAGGAGAGACAACGATGTGTCAAAGAAAGGCAGAGCGGCTGAAATCACAAAGCCTGCAGGCTCCTCTGCGTGCGCTCTGATCATCTAGTGGGAGCTCGATTGGAGCCTGGAGGTCCAGGGGCCCCGTCGAACTTGCTGCACACGCACACGGGATAAAGAGAGGCTCTACAGGCGATAAATTGCTTTCTCGAATCGAGTTTACAATCTGTATAGGTTTTTGGATGTGTTTCCTAAACCACTTTACAAATTTACTTTAAGGAATTGTAAGAATGTGAGATGCATATGCAGCTGAACATCTCCACTGACATCACAGATACAGACTGGTCCCTCAAGAAGGGCCTTTGTAAAAACAGTTACATGACTCCATCTAGTGGAGGTGGGATAATTCTGTTTTCTGCACTTTATATATGTGACCCTGGACCACAAATCCAGTCTTAAGTCGCTGGGGTATATTTGTAGCAATAGCCAAAAAAACATTGTATGGATCAAAATTATAGATTTTTCTTTTATGCCAGAAATCATTAGGGTATTAAGTAAAGATCATGTTCCATGAAGATATTTTGTACATTTCCTATTGTAAATATATTAAAACTTCATTTTTTATTAGTAATAGGCATTGCTAAGAACTTCATTTGGACAACTTTAAAGGCGATTTTCTCAGTATTTTGATTTTTCTGCACCCTCAGATTCCAGATTTTCAAATAGTTATATATCGGCAAAATATTGTCATATCATAACAAACCATACATCAATGGAAAGCTTATTTATTCAGCTTTCAGATGATGTATCAATCTCAATTTCTAAAAATTTACCCTTATGACTGGTTTTGTGGTCCAGGGTCACATATGCTAACAAATACATTATTTAAGGCAAGACCGAATTCATAACAGGGCTGTTGTAGAGATCATAAATTGGACCACAGGACATAGATAGATCAAAATGTGTGAATGTGATGTGTGAGAGTATCATTTCCTCCGTTATTTCTAATTTTTCTCTACATGGATATCAGTCACCTCTCTACACCCCTTTTTTTAGTTTATCCCGTTTCACAACCCCTTTCTTCCTCTGTCTGTCTCTCTCTCTCTCTCTCTCTCTCACTCTTTCTGTCTGTGCTCTTTGTGTTAACTGCTGTGTGGGACATGTTGTAGGTAAAGGTCCAGAGACCATATTTGCGGGCCAGAACTTGAATGACAATGAATGGCACACAGTTCGTGTCATCAGAAGAGGCAAAAGTCTGAAGCTAATGGTGGATGACCTGCAGCCCTCTGAAGGTACAGCACATTCTCAAGTATTCTACCATCTTAAGACTCGCACTCACACACATGCAAATTTGAAAGTGAGCATCCTATGCCCTATTATGAAGTGTAGAGCACTCAAAGTGGGGAGTTGGAAGGATGAAGGTTATTGTCTCACCTTATATGAATGTATATGTGATCAATGCTTTATTTTGAATTAGAAAGTTGCTTTGAAAACATACAAACAAAAAACAAACAAAAATTTTAGATTGCAATGTCAAATACAATTTCAAATATGACCTATTTAATAGTGACCTAGTTTAAATTTGAATAAACTTACATTATTAAAATATTTATATGTATATACATGCATATACACTGCCATTCAAAAGTTTGGGATTTGATGAAAAATACTGTAAAAACAGTAATATTGTGAAATATTATTATATTTTAAAATAACTTTTCTATTTTAATATATTTTAAAATGTAATTTATTCATACGATGGCAAAGTTGAATTTTCAACAAACATTACTCCTGTCTTCAGTGGCACATGATCCTTCAGAAATCATTCTAATATGCTGATGTCTGTGCTGAAAAATAAAAAAATTCTTATTATTATCAATGCTAAGACAGTTGTGCTGCTTAATACTTTTAAAGACAACAGTTATAAGTATTAATAAAAAATTGTCACAAACCTTTGAATAGTAGTGTAATTTTATCAATACAAATCACATAAAATATGTAAAGATAGCCTTGTTGATATAGCCTTTAGGTGTATACCAGGGTTTCCATGTAAATAAGTAAATTAATAAAAAAATAAAAAAACTTTGATTTTAAAATATGAAACCACAGGTATTTTATGTTATATAATATGTATATAAATTGATTTACTTATATAAAATAATAAATTATTTCTTTGTTGGTATAGTTATTGGGTGTATGAGAGAGTTTTAACAGGGTCATGAAATGGAGAATCAAAATGCACTTGATATTTACACATATGAGAGGTTACTCTGCAATAACATACTGCAGGTTTCAAAACTCAAAACTAACTCTCCAGTATAAAATATGAATTATTCTTTTGATAATTGAGTTTGAAATCGGGACAATGGTGACGTCACAATGCCTAAACGATTAACTTCACACTTTTCCTGTTAGTAGTGTGAAAACAATCTGTTGTCAATATTGTGAATATTTAATATGCAGAAAGCGATCAAAACGTATTCTCATTATAACCGCTGGAGCAGTCGATTCAAATGCATTTCATGACTCCTGTAAAATCCCATGTAAGATAAATCACCTGTAGTGTTAAGATCAATCTCAGGGACGCACCACAGATTATCACAGTCATAATTATTTCATTTAAGTAATTGCATGTACTCTTTGCTAACGGTCTTGTGGAAGGGCCTTTTGTGAAGAGATTCAGTGGCTCACTTCCAATAGCCTTCCCTCAGTGCTCCTCAAGGGCAAAAACACCTTTTGCAATTTGCCCACTGAATGAAGCATCATAAGAAAAAGGGAGTTCTTTCCCACAGTGCAGTACAATCATCTTTAGTTTCTTGCTGAACTTATGTGTATTCGACACTTTGAAAAAGACTTGGTATTTGGCTTAATGCTGATGCATTCAGAGGCCAAACCACTGAGGGAATACATTATACTCACATAACCTTACTGATTTTAGAGTGAAAGAACTTCCTCTTGGGAAGCTTTAAAAGAGGTTTTTGAAATATTTAAGGGCTTCTTTCTCTCCCACTGGATTGCAGAAAGATGAAGTTAACCTTTTTTCCTTCAAATTCCCTAAAATACTTGTAACATTCTTCCAACTCTTAATGCTCTTATGTTTTTCATTTTTTAGTCTTCCATGTTTATTAAAAATCTCATTTTGCTGCAGTAAATTTAAGTTGGCCCGTTTGGCAATACTGCGGCCCTGTCCCAGATATATCACTTTATGTGTACGTGTGGTCTTGCAACAACTTGCAACGTGTCCGTGAATTCCACAAGACTTTATGGTGTCCCATTTTTCTACTACATGACAATCTATACTGTATGCAGCATTACGTCATCCTTTTGGGACAGGACCTGTTTTGACAGTCTTCCCTTCCTGCATTAAATCTGTTTTCGATTATTCGCCCTGTAAGGTCAAATCACGGGAGACCACACGCAGCTGGAGTTCCACAATGTGGAAACGGGCATCGTTACCGAGAAGCGTTATATGCCCGCTGTGCCCTCCAACTTCATTGGACACCTGCAGGGCTTGTCCTTCAATGGCATGTCCTACATTGACCTGTGCAAGAACGGCGACATCGACTACTGCGAATTGAATGCCATGATTGGCTACAGGAGCATCGTGGCAGACCCGGTGACCTTCAAGTCTCGCTCTAGCTATGTGACCTTGCCCACCCTCCAGGCCTACTACTCCATGCACCTGTTCTTCCAATTTAAGACCACTTCACCAGATGGACTCATCGTGTACAACCGAGGAGATGGCAATGACTTCATAGTAGTAGAGCTGGTTAAAGGGTGAGCTCCATTGGTTTTTAATGCACCATGTTTGATTGGAATGTATAGAACATGTGATAAGTCCTTCACTAATTGTCTTCATGACTGTTTGCATGCAGATATCTCCATTATGTGTCAGACCTTGGAAATGGAGCTCATCTCATCAAAGGGAATTCCAACACACCACTGAATGACAATCACTGGCACAATGTGATGATCTCACGAGATACAAACAACCTCCATATGGTCAAAATAGACACCAAAATCACCACACAGACTACCATGGGAGCCAAGAACCTGGATCTGAAAGGTACTTTTGATGTTTTCTTAAAGAGAATGATCTCTGAAAGATTTTATCTGATAATTAGAGCTTAACGTGACACATGAATTATATAAAAAAATAAAAATAAATGTATTTTTATTATATTATATTATATTGTATTATATTATATTGGGTGTACACTACTATTTAAAAGTTTTGGGTCGCAATTTTCACAAACACAGTTTTTTTTATGTTTTTTGGGGGGTTTTTTATCAAAAAGAGTTATGTTGTGAAATATTATTTGTAATAAATTCCTGTGACTGAAGCTGCATTTTCTGCAGCTATAACTCCAGTCTTTAATGTCACATGATCTTTCAGAAATGTTTTTTTGTGCTCAAGAAACATTTTTTGTTATTATCAATTTTGAAAACGTAATATTTTGTGGAAACCATTATAGGGATTATAAGGATTATTTGATGAATATAACATTCAAAAGAACACAATTTATTTGAAATTGTAAATGTCTATCAGGTTTGATCAATTTAATGCACATTTGTTGAATTAAATAAATAATTTCCATTAAAAAAAAAATTTTTTTTAAACACCGACCTCAAAAGTCTGAATGTTGTGTATATGCGTTCTTTACCTCACATTGACATTCACATTGTTGTGTATTGCAACAAACAAATGAACCAGCAGGGGGCAGTGGTGTCCCTTTTCGTTGGGCATTTACATAACATGCTCCCCTGATAGTTTAATTGAAAACACATTGCCAGTCAGAGCATAATATTTCCTGTCTCTTCAGGTGATTTGTATGTCGGAGGTGTGGCCAAAGAGATGTATAAGGACTTGCCAAAGCTGGTGCATTCTAAAGAGGGCTTCCAAGGCTGCTTGGCTTCTGTAGACCTGAACGGCCGTTTGCCAGACCTGCTTTCAGACGCACTGTCCAACGCCGGCCAGGTGGAGAGAGGATGCGAAGGTGAGGAAAATGGTATGAATGAAACATACACCAGGTCGGCTTAGCGAGTTCCTTCACTTGATGACTACAATCTCCAATCCTTGTCTCCTCTCATGCACTTGTTCATCCTTTCTGCTTCTTGATCTCTTCATCTGTTCTGTGTTTTCTTCATGCTGGGCCAGTTTTAACCGGTTTCAGGAGTCTGTGTTCTGCTGTTGGCAACAGTGGTGTTGATTAGGGGTGAACGATATGGACATGTCCCTATCATTGTCAAGAGATCTTGTGTTTTTTTCCAAGCTGTAACTGTGATGAAGCTGAATATATGAGAGGAAAGAGACTGGTTAGTGCCATTAGCCTTTAGTGGTCATATTCATTAGTGAAAAATAGTTAACAGTAATCTTTTTTTCATTGAAGCTCAGAAAGATAACGATATCATAAAAGCGAGTCATCAGTGGTACTAACATAACTGAGGATGGCCCATAGGACTGCTGCGAGAGCTATCAAAAATATGCCACTTTGTCTTTTGTCCTTAAAATATTAATCGAATGCATTAAAAGTGAATGCAGTGCAATCATCCCAAAAGGAAAAACTAATTTAAAAGAGGACTACAAGAATAATCATGAGATTTATTAACAGTGATATTGTGTTTATTGAAAGTGACATTTCAGATATGTAACATTATGCAAATAATTTGAATATTAAAATAGTAAGGTTTAAGCTAATGAAGTTACAATGCCATTTAAAAGTTGTTTGCTTTTTAAAGAAATTAATATATTAATAACTAATTTATGAATTAATATATTAATAACAAATAGTTAATAGATAGTAATAGTTAGAGAAAATTCTATTTAAAATAAATGCTTTTCTGTTGAACTTTCTATTCACCGAAGAATCCTGAAAAATGTTTTTCAAGGATTATGCAAAAAATAATTTGTTAATAACACATTAATAACAATATGCAGTGTTTCTTGAGCACGAAAACAGCATATTAAAATGGTTTCTGAAGGATCACATGACATTGAAGACTGGAGTAATGGCTGCTGAAAATCAGTTATTTAAAATTGTAATATTTCACAATATTACTGTTTTTAATGTATTTTGGATCAAATAAACGCAGCCACTGTGAGCATAAGACATGAATCAAGCTCTAATGCATAAGAATGCATCAAAGTACAATAATAAATATGTTAACCTGGCTATCTAAATGGAGACTTATTATAGAGAGCTATTATTTTAAAATTAATTAATTATCTTAACTACAGACTAACCATACTTCTAATGATAAAAGAAAACCTATTTTTTACATTTACAGTAACATTTTTTAGCAATTTTGTCTGGCAAAATACACACACGTCATTTTTATATAACCATCAGTATATTCAGCCATAAAAGAACTGCTAATATTTGCTAAGAACCACAACATTACAAAAGCATATAAACCTTACATGAATGCATGTATTTATTTTTAATAAAGTCATTATGGGATCACATTTACAGGGAGCGATCATGGCTGAAAAAATGTCCTTCTGTTCAAACCAAACCTACGCTACTGGCTTTTATCATGTCTGTTGCTGATTGACTTTGTTTCTTTCATCATCTCTAACTCCACCTCTCTTCTTCCCTGGGTCTCTGTCTGCTTTCTTTATTTCCTCTGTCTGTTCCCTTACATTTTTAACGACTTAATTTGTTATAATCACAGACATTCCAGTGCCTCTACTAACATCTTATTTATTTTGTTTTGTTTTTTTCTTTTTCGTTTGGCTGACAAAAGTTGCATTGCTGAAAGCTGACTTGCAAGGTAGATAGACATATGTGTGTCTTAACCGATGCCCCCTCTTCCCCTCCTCCAGTGTGACCGTCTGATGTCGTAGTTCACGTTTGCCCAGCAGCCGGTCTAATAACTCCATCACTGTAAATACAAGCACCGTCTGCACACCTTGTATTTACAGCCTCCTGGTCTTAAACTGTCCCAGAGTGTCCTGTGTCATAGTTTTCCCTCACTTACCCGTCACTGCTCTTTTCATTGGAGCGTACATCTGTTCTGTTGTTTACTGGAGGCATGCGTCCCCCCTCCTTCCCTCTTCTGACAGTGCCCCCCTCCACCCACTGCATGCGGTTTCAACTCCTTCCACACCAAAATGCGATGGAAATAGTCTATAGCCTTTACCCCCTGATAAGGGCCTTAAAACTAGATGGAATTTCCCAAGCAGTTAGGGAATCTCTCCCATGAGTTCGAAGCCTGATTACTCCGCTCAGATATATAACACTTGGTTTGAGAGAAGCTCGTCAGGGGAGCAAGCCAACCCTCTGTTTCTCTGCCTGAGACTTTAAATGAGCTTCGCTCAGACAGATCAGGTGAGACAGGAAGAGCACAGCTCATCTGGATCGTACCTGTGGCTGTCGTAGCGTCTCTCTCTCTCTCCTCCTTCTCCCTGCCAGACTCGCTTCACTTCCGAGTCAAGTGGCCAAGCCGCAAATGTGCGACTGATTGGCCAAATGGCTGAGTGATGGAGAGGAGGGAGCGTTTGAGGGCCAGGGGCCTGTTTTACATGCCAGCTGAAGTAATGAGAGAAATGAGAACAGAAGTGTTTCCGCAGGCTGCCTGGCCCGTCGCCTCGTCGCTTCGCTTCTGTAGACGGAACACAAAATGAGCTGTTCCAGACGGCCCCCATTTATCTTACAGCCCTGAGTCCCCAGCGAGTGCTGCTTTAAACGCACCTCAGCAATACTAGGAGCAGATGTTATTATCACACAGGGGCCTGTATTATTACTGCAGCAAATACACTGCGCATTACCGCCAATGCTACTCTGTCACACAGCCACTGGTGCAATGCTTGGATTGCACTAATCAAGTCACCTGTCCACATTTAATGTGTTCTTGAGTAATGAGACCGATTAAAGGTGCACTCAGTATTTTTTTTACCTTGTTAAAAAGTTTTAAATAGTACTTTTTAAATATCGTACTCACCTGAGACAAAGACTCAATATTACACTCTCAGAAATTAAGGTACAAAAGCTGTCACTGGGGCGGGGCCTTTTTAACAGGTACTAAAATGTACCTTTAAGGTACTAATATGCATCCTTTTGGGGTAAATAAGGTACAAAAGTGTGCCTTTTGAAAGGGCACCGCCCCAGTGACAACTTTTGTACCTGTGTAGAGTGTAGCTGATTTAATTTACATGGAACAGTTTGCCTCATGAGGGCAGACATGTCGAGATTGCTTTGGTAACCTCCCTATTATTATATATTTTTAATAAGTTAATCATGACTTACTGTGAATAGCATGTTTCTACAGTGACATTTACTACAGATATTTGCTGTTTGAGTAATGCTACACTACTGTTCAAAAGTTTGGGATCAGTTTTATTTGTTTTTTGTTTTTGTTTTTTTAAAGAAATTAATACTTTTATTCAGCAAGGATGAATTAAATTGATCAAAAGTTAAGACATTTATATTAATCAAAGAATCATGAAAAAAAGTATCATAGTTTCCACAAATATTAAGCAGTTTAATAAAGAGTTTTAAAAACCAGTTTTTATATTAATAATATAAACATAATAATAAGCATATTTTCAACATTGATAATAATAAGAAAGGTTTCTTCAGCACCGAATTAGAATATTAGAATGATTTATGAAGGCTCATGTGATGCTGAAGACCTGAGTAATGGCTAAAAAAACATTCTGCTTTGCCATCGCAGGAATGAATTACATTTTAAAATATATTCAAATAGAAAAATGGTTGTTTTAAAGTTTTCATATTTTTCAAAGTATTACTACTTTTACTGTATTTTTATTCAATAAAAGCAGCCTTGGTAAGCATAAGAGACTCCTATCAAAAACTTTAAAAATCTTACTGACCCCAAATTTTGAGCAGAAGTGTACATCAAAGCCACTAGGCGTCAGTGTAAGTTCAAATATGGCTACTTCCTTATTAATAAATATATCATGTGAAAAGCTGTATGTCAAATGAGTAGTTTGTCCGAAAATGTAGTATTCGTAAAAATGCCAGGTGTGCATCCATTTGTAAGTGGTGGGAAACAGTGACGTAGCTGACATCATAGGTCATTTTCACCATATACATATAGTGTGTCTCTAGACTGTATTCTTACTACACATATGAAAAATTATAGAATGTACTTTTTAACAGTCATGCAGTAATTTCTTCATCAAATGTAGTTCATACTCAGTGCATGATGTCAGATGCAGCCAGCGCAACATAAACAAAAAATTATCAAGTGTACCTTTTGGGTTTGTTAATCTAAGATAATGACACAATATAAGTTAAAATAATCACACTTATTATGCTATATGAAATCACACTGAAATGGAAAAGATTTATACATTTATTTTTCTTGTACAGTAGTAACATTTGAATGTAACACATTTTTGTGCATCTTTAATATATTTATACATTATTTTCTTCACCCAAATCAGATCCCTAAAGTGTGTCTGAGAAAGATTAATATTTAGTTAAACAGAAGATTTTGTCCTCACTGGTAGCTGGTTTTTCATCAAGGGGAATGAGCAGATGGGATGGTTCTGTGTGCCTGTTACTGCTACAATAAAAGCTTTTCACTTGTCTGGATTTTTATGCTGTATGGGGCCTATGAATTTATATACCTCTTTTTCTTTCTGTTTCTCTCTCTCTCTCTCTCTCTTCACTACTCTGTCACCGGTCTCTTCAGGTCCCAGCACTACCTGTCAAGAGGATTCCTGCTCCAATCAGGGCGTGTGTCTGCAGCAGTGGGAGGGGTTCAGTTGCGACTGCAGCATGACATCATTTGGAGGGCCGCTCTGCAATGACCGTGAGTCTATCACCTCTCCTTCTTTGCAGCTACTGTAGGGAAACCCAGTGCACTGATCCAGAACCACCTAAATTGGATGAGAGCACTTGCGCCGCTATTATTTACGGTATTCTAAAAAACATCAGCCAGTTCGATGATTATTGTATTTTTAGAAAATGGTTTTGAATATATAAACTGTGAAAAATAAACAGACCAATTCATATTCACATCAGATGTGAATCACACTGAATTAAAATGGAATCTCAGTGACCCTTAGAAAGTGGCTATTTTCAGAACTGAATACTAGCGTGCTGTGTACTGCCTACTGCGCAGAATACACCACATGCTCACATTGTTAAACAACAAAAAAAACATTAAAAAAAATGTTTTTGTGCATTTATAAAATGGTTATTTTGATTTCAGTAAATAGGATGTTAGTATTCCATTCTGAACATAGTCATCATATTGTTCTTACTGCATACTTCCAAAATTGTGCAGTCTTCTGCTACACCACTAGAGGGGGTTGGTGGACAGTGCATAGCTGGGGATCTGCACCATGCTGTATATCACAATGTGCTGCAAAAAAGAAGTAAAAAAAAAATAGACTTAGTAGACTGTTTCTCATAGATATAAATTATATCTAGAGGGAAACATCGCATAAGCATGTGTGGGCATTTCTGAATGGATTTGTAGTATTGAGCTGTACCCCGACAAGAGCATTGACTGAATTTGGTGTGAAAACCTCTAGTGCTTGTAGCCTGTGAAAGTGCTGAGTGCCAGGAATCTGAAGCAGAGTGAAAGTCCTTGAGATGGTTTACGAAAAAGATCTATTACAGGCTCAAGCCATGCACAGCTAATCCATTCTGCGGGTTTACCAAACTGATAAGAGCCCGCCTTTGTTCAGGAGGAAGAAGCCACATAGAAGATGGCTTGCATTACATCATCCGCATCCCCACACCTCGCTGGTATCTATTTAGTGTGTTTTTAGAGATGAGAACGGCAGATAGAGGAAGTTAGTATCATTTTGCTACCTAATTAGAATTATTTAAAAAAACACATTTCTTTTAGCTTACTCTTTTTCCCCCTCATATCTACAGTGATTCAGACCGATAAATGAAATAAAATGGTGGATTTACACATTTCGCCTCCATTGTTGTGTGTAAGCCTGTGGGTTAATGTTTACAGACTGAATCCATCTTTTACTGGGCACTTCTTTGAGCAAGGAACAGACAGAATGATATGTGCACACAATATTAATGTTCCTGCACGGTCGAATGCTCATGCGCACACACACAAAGGCTCATTTAGATGGGTAGAAGCCCAGTGGTCACCAGGCCGTGAAGGCAGTGCAAAGAGAAAGAGGCTTTGTCTGAGCATAGTGGCAGAGAGGAAAGCCTGGGTTAGACACTCAGCCGTGGACTTGCATGACCACATCATTCCACCTCAAGACCTGCACTACATACACTACAAACCCATAGTTGTCCAAGGTATGGACACTCAGCATCAATTCCCCATCTCTGAAACAAGCTTTCACTAACACATGTGCGCACTGATCAATACACAGATCCCTGCGGGGTGGGTGCAGTGTCCAGAATTAACAGTTGCCACGTGCCAAATACGAGTAAAATGAGGAGTGACTCACCTTTATTTCACAGCTTTATTCGCAAATGCAACATTATATATGTTTTGAGTACATTTGTAAGAACATGTATAGAAAAGTTATTGTATTAATCCACCAATATAAAAATTTGAGGAACAAAATAATTATTTTTTTATGTTTTTGTTAAACTGTGAGATAATGACCAAATTAGTACAATTTATATGATTATTATTTTTAATTAATGACATTAATATTTTTGTTAAAAACACTGCTTCATGGATAGTAAGAAATCTTTAATATTTAATTAAATAATAAAAATTTTATAATGACAAATGCATGAATATTGTTATGATTCATTATTCATATTCATATTTTAATATAAATACAGAAAAAAATATGGCTTCATGCCCTGTAGGAAATGTTAAGCTGGTGAATTTTCTCAATTTGTATTTTTATGCAAGAAAATAAATACTAAATCCAGAGGTGTAAAGTATTTTGAGTAAATGTAATTCATTACAATTACTGTGCTTGAGTATCTTTTTGGCTACTTTGTAGTTTTACTAAGTATCAAAGATAATAGAAACTTTTACACTCTACTTCACTACATTTTTGAATAAGTATCTGTACTCTTTACTTCACTACATTTGTAAAGTGTGTTGCAATTACACATTACATTTTGCACAGCCCCTAGCTTTTTCTGCAGCAGTATATTTCTGCTTCAAGAGAAGTGATATCGCCAACTACAGGGCACTGAAAGTACTATATCTTGTGAGTTTTACCCTTACTTACCCAAACTTGACAACACGGCTATTTTACGTGAATGCGAGTTTCTTAGCAATGGCAATGAGGCCGAAACCAGGTCATCCGGTGCAAGAATGCGTTGACTTTTTAATTTAACATAATTGTTTTCACTATTCTCCTGTATTCTTATCCTGTATAAAAGTTCAATAAACAAATTAAGCAATAAATACTTTTTTAAAGGATTTTGTTATTGTTGTTGTTGTTGTTTTGTTTGTTTGGGGTTTTTATGTTTTTGTTTTTTTGAGGTGTTCGGTTTTATTTTGGTTTTAGAAAATAAACGTGATTGCTCTCCTCACAAATGAACTTTCTTGTTTTTCACTGGCATGTCTCTTTGACTAGTGCATCTTTGAGCCTATATTCAGTATGAGTAAAATAATTAAGTACTGTTAAAATCAGATATTCTAAGACTTTTACTCAAGTTGTTTTGGAATTGGTGACTTGTAACTTATAGTGGAGTCATTTTCACTGTAGGGTATCTGTACTTTTACTCAAGTATGGTTTTCAGATACTCTTTACACCTCTGACTAAATCTAATTTTCAAAATGACAAATGTATGTTTAAGTATTTATATTAAATGTTTTAAAAAAATGCAGAACTAGGCTATTTTCTCAATCCCTTCATCGTTGGAATTTGTGGCAAAAGTTAATTCTGAACACTGGTTGGGTGCAATTGTCCATTAGTCTCATCATGCATGGACTCAAACACACTTCAGATCTCAATGGCTACTATCAACATAAACAGTTTGGTTTGAGCTGGATATCAAAGAGCACTTTAGAAAACTAGCAAGAGAAATAGCAGAGCTGGGGGTCTCCGCTGAATGCAAAACTGATGTGCTTGGTGTAAATACTATTAAAGAGGCAGAGCATAGATAAGAGACGAAAGAATTACGCGATTACAAATGACCACAGCCATAGAGGAAAAACGTGAAGAGATAAATGAATCGTACTATTCATGACGTCAGCGTGCCCATCTGCTCTCTAACCGAACAAATGTATTTAAATATGTGTTTCATTTTTAATTAGCTTGTTGCTTATCAAAGATCTTGTTTCTTAATAAACAGCATCCCACCGGTTACTGGAGCATCATGGGTGGGGGGAGTTGATTCATGCTTCCTGTAGTCAATGAATAGATAGGGACATGGAAAATTAGAAGAAAATGATTGTAGGGTTCATTACTTATTTGTTCTCTTTTCACTTCATAAATAATTCCTCCTTTCTTTATAAAAAAAAGTGAACAGAACATAAAAATTGGACACAAAAACTGGAGCGAAATGAGAGGAAGGAAGGAAAAAAAGACCTTTCCACTTATTTCTCCCTTACTGTTTAAAATACTTGAAACCTTTTTTTCCCCCTACACAGAATGAAAGCCCCAGTATTAAAACATGCTCTACTTCCTTTGAATCTGCTTTTGAGGTCAGCTGAAAAAAGAAATGGATTGGCTCAAACATGTGACTTGCCAGAGAATGGCAAGGGTCCTCTGCTCAAAGCAACACAGCGTTTGCCATTAGGTGGCAGCCTTGTAAACAGAAAATAAAGCACATGCTCCTTTTGCAGGCTGGGTTCTCATATTCTTTTAATATCTCAGGGAACAATTAGCTTGCTATGAATGCAGCCGGCTGGTTCCCAAATTATTTCATAAACCTCTGGATATGATGTTTCATTGCATACAGCACTGTGTATTGCTCAAGTCACAGTGATAAAATTGTCTTCCAAATAGAGCTAGAGTTTCAGCTCCTGATGCAGGCTGTCTTGGAGCCCCTGGCGAGACAGCTCTGATCACCCGGCTTTGTCAACTTTAATTATACAGTGCTAACGATGCTGAAAGCTGAGAGGAGGGAGACGCAATGATCCTCTTGTGTGAGAGGAGATGACACCAGTGTCACATTTAGTGCATCTTTCTTCACACTCCAACTGGAGTCTCTGTGGAGAAGCACACCTGCAGACTTCCTCCTTGAACCAACAAGCAAACACACCCACAACATGGGGTGCACTTGAGGGTGAGGGTGAAACTTGCACAATATTCATTTAGTACGTTCTTTTTTGTTTCATTTGTTAGTGACAAACTCACACTAATAAATCAGAGATACACTGTATTTGGGGTTTTGACTGATGGCACTTTTAAACTGCTCATTTACACATCCTGTTCCACTCTCTAGTAGAATAGATTGGGTTTTTACCTACACCAGTGGTTCTCAACTGGAGGGTTGTGACCAGTCATGGACAGTAGAGTAAAAAAACGATGCTAAATGCTAACCATATAATTGTGCAAGTAAATTCTAAAACTTGACTTACATTTTATTCTGTGGAACACAAATAAAATATTTGCGAGTATACAATGAAAGTCAGTAGGGTTTACCATTGTTTTGTGCTCCATTGTATGAACAAAAATGGTTGAAAATTTGTAAAATATCTCCATTTGTGTTCCACAGAATAAATAAAACTGTACAAGTTTGGAGGGTAAATGATGACAGAATTTATATTTTTGGGTGAACTGCCCCTTTAAGGAAATGTTTCCTGTCTTTTTATTGTTGACGTCAAAGCCTGGGCATCCATCTAAGCAGTGTTTTGACTTGGTTCAAATTAGGCAGATGGCAACATGATTGGGTTGCATGACTTGCCCTCATTTTCATAAACTGTAAAATTAATCTGTTTCATCACAAAATCTGCAAACAAAATGTCAAACTATAAAACACCTTGCAAATTTATTCAGATTAAAACATACTACAATTACAATTACAAGCCTTGCTTGAAACCTTGAAGCTACTGTTGCATCTTGCATGTAAGAAAGACTGCTATTGAATCAAGCCAGGCACTGTCCATGGTGCTGAAGTGTGCCCAGTGATTGTCCTTCTGGTGAGAGAACTCATTCAGCTACACAATGGCCGAAGAGGGAGGAGTATATCAAGGTTTGACTAGTTTGTGAAGGGGGAGAGAGCCCACACTCTCTGAATTCCAGCTGGACTCTTCTCGAGCCACCCCTCTGTCAAGGAGAAACGAAGACAGGAAGAGAGAAAGAACGATTAGGAGGACGAGACACGAGACCCCTTCCACAGCTGCACGCGCCTCCCTGATGATCGAGGGGGAGGGAGAGAGGAAAAGAGGGGGAGGAAAACTCAGCCAAGCTTCACCGTTCTCTGTTTCCCTTTCTCTTCATTCAGAGGGTCTTTTCCTCTAAGCATGCTGCTTAGGAATGCTTTCGCTACAGAGATGCTGTAAGGAGTGAGTGAAGAGGAACACTTTCTTAACGCTGACATTTTCAGAAACTCTGACCAGCTTTTTCACATGCGGACCACTTGACCACTCTTGCCCTTTCTTGGTTCTCTCTTCCTGTTCTCCTGTGATGTGTCTGCTAATGTTTCCTCTGAGAGTCAGTGCGGTCTCAGCCAGCCAGGCAGCAGCAGCAGCTCTTGTGTGGTGTGTGTGTGAGAGAGAGTGTGTTTGTCGTTTGGGGAGGGGGAGAGGCACTCTGTATTGAGTTAAATGCTGCAGCGGCGATCTCATCTTGTGTGTGCCATCGCTTCTGGTAGTCTCCCTGATCCTCTCCTTTTCTCTCAACGGGGATAACGAGGGATGCAGCCTTGTCTTCATGGGATAAAGCTGGGATTCAGGTGATAGGAAAAGTCCAGGACTGCTGAGAGGTCTGTAACAAAAGCTGCTCACTCTTTTCTCCTTCTTCTCCAATACACCACTACGCCTGCCTTACTGGAGTACTGGATCGGATTCCGTGGTTTCTTTCTTTTTTCTCCCACAGGATTTTGTGTTTTTGAATGCCATGAAGAGAGGAATTTAACCCAGGATCATTATCCTTCTGAAGTTTACCTCATCTATGCTCTTTTTTTTAATCCATACCTCGGAAGAACTCTGTGGAAGTTCCCTCTACATGTGGATTCGGCACGTGCTGTTGTTCTGCCTTTCCATCTGTGATTGGGCTGTTGCATGGTCAGGATCCAAGGCTTGAGCAGGACATGGGTTGCCAGGTGGTCTAAGGACACCCCTCTTTAAAGTCCTTGCTCTCCGGTAGCATGCTGCGTCTGTGGCCCTGCGGGGCTCCTGGTGGTCTTGCTTCCATCCTGCTCCGCATCAGCCTGCGCCTGGCTCTCTGGCTGCCACCGCTGACTTTGGGGTCAGCCCTGGCTCTGGCAGAGGGGCCTGGGGAGCTGTACGTCCCTCAACATATGCCTCATCACCTCGTGCCTGCCGCCAGATCCCACGCCCCCCTGCGGGCAGGACATGGTGCGTAGCTTATTCGACTGCCACATTCACCCTCTTACCGCTTTGCCATTCAGTGACCTTTCATTCCTAGAGCTACTGTTTTCTGTGTGCCGAGATTTTAGCATAAGAAACGATATCATGCACTTGTAATCTCACGGTAATTGGCCGAGCTCTATGAGTGTACTTGCGCAATTATGTGGTCAGGATGCAAATGCGATCTTTAAGAGGTGTTTGTGAACATTATGCAGATGCATTATGCAGAGTACAAATGTTGAGAGCATAATGTTGGCTGCACCACAATCACTTAGCGACCAGCGATTCAGCCTTCTGTTACGCTGACTATGCTTGAATACATGCGTCTTTGTTATTTTTTTATGGGCCATTGAGGGGGCTGTTTTTATGTAAGCACTGGGGCAACATCCTTAACCTCTCCTGTTCAAAAGGCCACATCCGTGCACGCCGACTTAAGCTGACCTTTGACATGATGAAATTATATTCAAATTGCATCGTGGTCACCGTAGCGTGTTGTGTGTGTGTGTGTGTGTGTGTGCGTGTGTGGATTTAATGCAGCGAACCAGCCAAATTGAATGTATTATTTCTAAAAGGGTACAGTGGACAGGCTATTAAACCCAAGAGCTATCCCGAGATTTCCACACTGGGGCACCCCCCACACCTCCTTTGAAACTCTATTACTTCTACATTCCCATTAAATCCCACTGGCCACCACTCCTGAGACCGGTATACAGTATAAATTGAACACCTTCTGCCTTATTGCACCAGATTTTTCCCCCCAGTTTGTGTTATAATGTCTCGTTGCGGCTGGCTGTTTAAAACTATCAGGGCGATTTCCACGCTATGTGTGCAGAGGGGCTTGAGCTGTCAGTACTGTATGTGATCCACTGCACTTATATAACGAGACCTGGCTGCATCTCAGCATTATCCTCACAGATTATGCTTTGATTAAAAAAAAAACTACACTATTGAATAGAGGCAGGAGGAAGAGAGCAGAAGCTTGTGAAGTGAGACGAGTCATTTATCATTCTTTCTGAAAGGCTCTTAGTTTTTCTTCTCTACCTCCTTGCCTCTCTCCCTATCACTCTTTCCTTCTGTCTTTGTCATATTCTTCTTTTCTCTGTGTGTGTGTGTGTGTGTGTGTGTGTGTGTGTGTGTGACACAGCTGGCGTCTTTAATGGCAGGGTGTGCTGAGATCACAGAGTCGCGCTGTTCGAATGCGTCCCCCCAGGCGGTGAGGCAGCGCATCAGGGTCCATTGCTTTTGCCTCTGCCCCCCTCCCGGCCAAGCTAATCTAAACCTCCGGACCTCTTTTGCCCGAGAATATTCAGCGACATTGTTCGCAGCTGAGCATAATTCACGAGCTCTGATAATAATAAACTAAAACTGAAACCGCTTCCAGCTATGTGTCTGCTTTGCTATTTACAGCACCAGCAGACACCACCTCAGCCAAACCTCTGTCCAGCCCTACCTGCTTCCAGCACTGTTTTAGTACGCCGCGACAAGGAGTTTGAGAACAGCATGAGTTCTGTTGTTGTAGAAAAATTATCATTTAAAAACCATTAACAGTAGGTTATGTGGAGTGCAGAAAAGTGTGTGCATGCACCCTTGTCTGTGTGCACCAGTAAATGTGCCCTCTCTCCCACTGAAATGATTGGATGGGAACTAAAAAAAAAGGAAAGCAGAAAGCGAGGCAAATTATCAGAAGTTACTCTGGGCTCCAGCACAGTGAGTACATGTGGCCCCTGGCATGTAAAATTGGTGTGTTTGGTTAGAAGGGCCATACATCATATTGATAGAGTAACATCTTAAATAATAATTTTTCTGATCAAAAGAGACTATATTTATTCACATCAGCAGCACTAATCTTTGAAAATAAATGATTCTGAAGTTTGATCCAAATCCATATGATTTTTATTCGACTTTGAAACACAAAAAGGGGACATTTTGCCAAAAATGTTTTCTGGAGACTATTGTTCTAATGTGTGATCATTATTTTTAGGGTTTTCATGTGGTTTCTCTGGGCTCCAGCCCAGTGTTTTTTTTTTTTTTTTACTTTTTCCCCCTCTCATTTTGCTGCAGTCTTGCACTTTTATCTCCTCTTTCCTCCACAGTTACACTGACAAATATAACAGAAGCTACATTTAGATGAAGTTATACAGTAGAAGAACACTGCATTCTCTCACACCTACAGAAAAATTATCCAACCGTGTAGGTTCAACATCATTCCCCCTCTTTTAAAAAAATGTGTTCGTGTGAGTGTCTTCTTTCTTGCAAATGTTTTCAAATGCTATTAATGACTATGTGAGCTGCTTTAGTATGCTGCCGCTCTTTCTCTCTCCTCCATCACTGCCAATCTGAATAGAATAGAGTTACTCATGAGGTTGAGTAACCTTCCTCTTTCTATCTCTGTCTTATTTGCTCTCTTTTATGTCAGAACTATAGTTTGAGAGGCCCGAATTGCTGTAATGAGAGTATAGCATGGATTTGCACGTGAATGGTGCTGTGCCCGGTTAAATATGATACTCCGAGAAGCTGAGAATTGGAAGCGTAGGCTGTCCTGACTAAGAGAGAGATAGAGGGAATTAAAAGAGGCAAAAGGATGAGCAGAGTCGTCAAAGACTACATGTACTTGACAGTGATATTCCACTGGGAATGATACAGCATCACCACCAGCAAACAGTGAGACAGTACAGTGACTGTACAGGGCTGCAAGCTGAACTCTATAGTGGGTGCATTGTGTATGGGTGTGCAAGTTTATATGAGAAAGACATATCATCCCCTTGATAGTATGGAGGTGATAGATTTTTTTAAATGCTATTCACTCTCCCAAGAGAATCTGCAGAAAGAGAGAGAGAGAGAGATAGAAGGAACAATAGCTTTGGTGTGTAATCTAAACCCAGTCAAGCCAAACCTCCAGAGAGATTTCTCATTATGTCACTGTAGCTCACACATGGGGCTCATAGAGGCTTAGACTGGACGTACTGATACACACAAACACACACACACACACCTGCAGAGATTATTACACATGCTTCCATCTAATAAAAGAGTTATTCGTGAATTCATCGCTCAAAGTCAACATAGCTCTTTCTTTTATTCTTCCTTAGTTTTTTATTTCTTTACCTTCCCTTCCTTCTGTCATTCCTTCCTTCCTTATTTCTTTCCCTCCTCTTAATTCACTTTCTCCCTTTCTTTCCTTCTGCCATTTCCTCCCTTCTTCCTTTCTTTTTCCTTCTCTCCACCCTTTCTTTCCTCCTAACTTTTTCCTTCTTACGTTCCACCCCATTTTTCCTTCCTTCACTTTTCCCATCTTTTTCTCCTCTTCCTTCATTTTTCACTTGTTCCTTTTGTTTGTTTGACTTTCTTTCCTAATTGCTTTTTTCTCTCCTCCTTTTTTCCTTCTCTACTTTATTTGTTCCCTCTTTTCTTTCCTCCTTCATTTTTGCCATTCTTTAATTTAATTCCTCCCTTATATCCCTCCTTTCTTCTTTCCTTTCTTTCTTCTCCCATTTTCTTCCATTCCTTCTTTTCTTTCCTTCCCTGCTTTTTTCCTCCTTCTCTGCTTCATTCGTTCCTTTCATTTCTTCATCTGTAATTTCATTATTTTTCTTTACTCCCCCAGTTCCTTCTTTATTTTCCTCCTTTTTTCCTTCTCTGCTTAAATTCCCTCTTGCCATTTGTCCATCTCTCCTTCCTTTCATTCTAACTTTCTTCCTTTTTACCTTTTTTTCCTTCCTCCTTTAATTTCTTTTCTCATTCCTAAATACTCCTTCCTTACAAAATGCAAATCATACACAAAGATCAACACATACATATACACTCACAGGATAATTTACACGCTCACACACCATGAGCCTAAGCCTCATCTTCTCCTAAACCCCCTGGACGTTCTCAGGAGCCGAAAGCTCGTTATAAAAACACAAAGCAAATCAAAACAACATCCACTAAAGTGCCACAGCAGACAGGCTTTCAGCCAGCACAGCACTGACCGCTCATTCCCAGATCTAACCTAATTAGCCCTGGAAAGGTCACCAGGAGCTCTACCACGACCACAAACCCCAATGCTCCCTGCCTCTTTCACTCTTCAGTGGTCTCTTTTCACATATGAACTGCTGTTTTTTCTCTAGCCATGTCTTGTATTGACTGGGTCTGTGAAGCAGCATAGAGTCGGCTGTGGCGAGTATCCTCAGAGGTAAATTGTACTGCCATAATATGCTGTATAATGCACTGCTATCCAGATTTGTAGAAAATTCAGTTTGTGTCAGGCTGTTGTCCTTGAATTACGTTGCACTAAACATGAAATAAATCAGAAGACTTTACATTTCACAGTGGGTTTTATTGTTTTATTAGTTCTGATAAACTATTCAGCGCCCTCAGGTCTGACAATAAAAACTGAATAGAGTATTAAAGAAAGGAAAGGAAAATGTTTTGACAGTGCCAATGATGCATGTAAAAATCAAACCCATGAGGCGTGCAGGAACTGAACAGTATTAGAGCTGTCCGTGTGGACTCTCGACTGCGTCCTGAGGCAGCCAACCACCCACCCACCATAGAGCCTAAACTCTCTCCCATCCGGAGATGGAGTCTCTGTCAGTCAGCCGGAGGATTCCTTCACGGGCAGACAATAAAACCATGTGTTGCGCTAGCCCCGTCATAAACATGACGTCTCGTTTTGAAACCTGCGTCTTAAGTCGATTCTTGGAGAGGGAGAAACTGCAGTCAAATTTACGAACACTTCTCTCTTTCTGTTTCTGCTGAAGATAACGGCCAGTTTACTAGCATCAAACACACATATATGCAAAGATACACACATTCATCTACACATCCGCACCCTCTTAGGTTGGCCAGTGTTCAGCTCGAGCTGTTGCCTGTAATTACCCAGTTGGTGTGGAGCGCTGTGGTGTCAGTCTGGTAATTGGAGCTGCAGTAATTCACTTTTTAATTGCCTGTTTATTATTGCAGAAGCCTCAGTTTTGTAGTTGCAGCACAGCTCGCACTGAATGTTTAATAAACAAATACAATGTCACAGACTCATATTTTATGTAAACATTATAATTGCTTCACATAAAAAACCATTACCACAAAGCACACTCACTCTTGCCCGCACACACACACAAACACACACACACACCTATTCTACTCAGCATAATGGAACAAAAACTATTTTCTGTCCATAACCTGCCAGGTGGATAAGCTAGCAAAACACACAGAAAACAATACACCACATACCTGTAAAACATACAGTGGTGTCCAAAAACTTTTTTTTACCTGGAAACGAACAGAAAATGTTAAATATGGGGAGAATATGAATTATATTTATAGTTGCAGGGGACAAACCGTACACTATACGAAGACATTTTGAAATTTAATGTAAATTGTTAAATTCATCTAATTCGAATTATATATACATACAGTGGGGAAAAAAAGTATTTAGTCAGCCACCAATTGTGCAAGTTCTCCCACTTAAAAAGATGAGAGAGGCCTGTAATTTTCATCATAGGTATACCTCAACTATGAGAGACAAAATGAGAAAAAAAAATCCAGAAAATCACATTGTAGGATTTTTAAAGAATTTATTTGCAAATTATGGTGGAAAATAAATTTCAAAATTTCATCTCAATACTTTGTTATATACCCTTTGTTGGCAATGACAGAGGTCAAACGTTTTCTGTAAGTCTTCACAAGGTTTTCACACACTGTTGCTGGTATTTTGGCCCATTCCTCCATGCAGATCACCTCTAGAGCAGTAATGTGTTGGGGCTGTCGCTGGGCAACACAGATTTTCAACTCCCTCCAAAGATTGTC